GTTGTGCTCCTGCAGAAAATAACAGCAATACTGCTTCTGTTGGTCTTGCTCCAGCTAAAAATAACACTACTTCTAGTGCAAGTGGGGCTAATAAAAAAAAAAAATCAACTATTAATACTGATAATAAAACTAACAATATTTCCTCAAGTACGAATATCAATACTGGTAGAATATTAACAGTTCTCCTCTCTCACTAGTAGGGCTGTGTGTTCATGCCCCGAGTGTGACACAGGAGTGACAGGACTAACCTGATCTTGGGCTCATGCTGGAGGCTGGTGTTGGACTCGGGTTCCAGAGTGTAGGGTCAACAGCACACTGACCTTGATCTTGTGGGCAAGAGACTGCAGGAGGTCAGGACACAGCCCTGAGGGTCACCCCCTGACACCCCGACAGGAGGAGTCCTCTTGGGGCTACGGATCTCCACCTGGACCAGGGGCATCGGCAGCTCTTTATCAAGATCATCCTCACAGGCTCCAGCAGGCAGGGAGGAGGAGGAAGGCAGTCGGGACATCCTGTCTGTCTTCCAGGGGGCAGAGCAGGAGTTGTCTTGGGGAGTGCGTCGATCCCAGATTGGTCCGATTGGATCCCTGCAGGATCGATGAAGACCAGTGTCACCTGTGAAGGAAATCCAGCGAAGGAGAGACTCGCCTGCTCTGTACTCACCTGCCTGGCTGATGGGGGGTCCCCTGTTCCCCTGTCCTCTACCTGCAGGTCTGGGGGTGCCCTCTCCAACCTGGTACAGTGTTGCCCCACTTCACCCCTGGCTGCCTGATCCTGTTTCCCCAACACGGGGGGCAGCTCCCACATTCCCAGTCCCTCCCCACCTGTCCCACAGCCTCCCTGACCTCTCCCTGCCTGCAGGGTCAGGTTCCTCCTGCAGGAGCTGTGTCTGGTGGGAATAAACAGGCCTGAAGGCAGCCTGTGCTCCACCGAGTCCCGACTGCTCCGGTCCAGAGCTGCTGTTCTGGAGACCCGTCCTGGAGAAACACAGGTGTGTTGTCCACAGGCTCTCTCCCCCTTCGGAGGTTCTGACACCCCTGGGCTCCTCTTCATTGTTGTGGCACAACTGGGCTCCTCCTCCTCCTCTTTGTTCCAACACGCCTGGGTGTCCAGGCGCCAGGCTCCTCCTCCTGGTCAGTCTGAGTCTTCGGGGGGGGTCCAGGCGCTGGGCTCCTCCCACAGTCGAGGTCCAGGAGGAGTTTCTTCCTGTTGGCTTCTCCCAGAT